TGTTCATAATAGGTTATAAATCGCTTTGAAAGGCCTACTTACAGTCGTTAAGAATGTATGTATGTGTGTGTGTGTGTGTGTGTGTGTGTGTGTGTGTGTGTGTGTGTGTGTGTGTGTGTGTGTGTGTGTGTGTGTGTGTGTGTGTGTGCGCGCGCGTGTGTTTTATGCCCAGGATTCTTTAGCGACACCTAGGGAAAAGAAAAGAAGAAAAAATACCAGAGAAATCCGAACGCTCTTCCTTGCTCAATGTTGCTCTATCGGTGGCTAGGTCGGTAGTGTCCGTTGGAGATTAGGGGCAAAAAACGAGTTTCTTTTTATACGATAACTTATCTTTTCCTATTTTTCTTGGATGTACGTTTACGAAACGATGTCATGCTCCTTGAACTTAGCACCAAGCAAGGTTGGAATCTCGAAGTCTCGATTGCTGTGGAATCATGGGACAGGCGTGAAAATGCTTTATTTCATTTTTATGTACTTATTGATATACAGTGATCGCTGTGAATGTATCACTGACACACACACACACACACACACACACACGAATATATATGCGAATATATATATATATATATATATATATATATATATATATATATATATATATATATATATAATATATATATATGCATATAGAATATATGTATGTATGTATGTATGTATATGTATATTTAGTCATATATTTGTTTATACACTTATCACCGCATAATCAGTAAGTACACAAAAATGAAATAAAACAAACATGTTATTCTTAGATACTAGGAATCTTATTTTGTAAGTCCGTCATCGAATCATTTCATAATAACTCAAGTTTTCTTCCTGAATCCCAATACCGTCTGGTGCTAAGTTCAAGGAGTCTGGCTTCCTTTTGTCGACACAAAGCAAAAAAAAAACAAGCAAAAAAAAAAAAGATAAAAGCACTGAATGTTATCTAGCAAAAGAGAAACTCGTGTTTGTTCCTAATAACCTTACTGCACACACACACACACATGTATATATTGTACACTATATATCTACATATACAAGCACACACATATACACTAATACAGGAAATATAATACGAGTCAAAAGAATTTTCATCAATAACGGATACATTTTGTTAATCCATTACAATCTTATCCACACCTATCTCTATCAAGGACTTAGAACTGCAATTCCCCAGATGCCTCGCAAGGTAAACGCTAAGTGATCCGGGTGTCACTGAGAGCAGAAGCGTGCATGAACTAGGGAACAAAAGTAGACCATTCGTTGGGTAAGATTTTGATTCGCGTCTGGCATGTTGGTCTGCTTTTTTTTTCTTGGCTGTGTAAATTTATGGCGTCTAGAGTAAAGAAGAGTAAAGAATGGAAGAGAGAAAATAAAGAAGACGACGATGACGACGGAGAGTAAGATAAAAAAGAAGCGGAAGAATAAGAATAAGGGGAAATCAATATAAACTGAGGAAGAAGAAATAAAAACAAAAAGAGAAAGAAGAAATTAGAATAAGAAGAGAAAGAAAAGGAGAAGGAAGAAGAAAGCAAATGCAAAAGAAAAAAAATGAAGTAGGAAAGAAAAAGGGAGAGAGAAAAAAGAGGAAAACCTTCGGCATACGTACTTTATCAAATTTATGTCTCCGAAGAAGCAATTCAAGAATTAAATCTACGGAAATGTCTCGCCGCACTTCGGTTAGGCTTATGTAAAAGTCCGGTTCTAACACTCGACGAGCAGCTGAGTCGGCTATTTCCCAAGTGAAGAAGCTAACTGCGCTGCCTCACCGCCTCCCTCCTGCTTCCACAAGACTTCTTCATTTTAGATGTATCTTCGTAGATAAGAATATGTTGACTGCACCATGGCACACTCAGAGCAGAATAGGGCGTTGTACGTGGGCAGCCTGGACAGTGCGGTCACCGAGGAACTCATCATGATGCTGTTTGGCCAGCTGGGTGAGATCCGTAGTTGCAAAATGTTCCGCGAGCCCACCGCTGACCCCTATTGCTTTCTAGAATGCAATCATCACATGACTGCATTCAATGCAATTTCAGTGATGAGTGATCAGATGCTGCAGACTGGACAGGGAAACAAGAACAAGTACACCAAGGTAGACACCAGTACGTCGGAGCTCTCAGTCCAGAAATAGATAAGCAAGCACTTAGAGAAGCTTTTCAAGTGTTCGGTGAAATTTCAGACTGCAAGGTGGTTAAGGATCCCCAGAGTTTCAAGTCACGAGGTTATGGTTTTGTGTTTGTTAAGAAAATGGATGCTGAGGCAAGTATCAGTGCAACGAACGGCCAGTGGCTTGGCCGAAAAATGATCAAAATTCGGTGGGCCACACGAAAACCTGCCAACACTCCAAATGAAAATAAACCTGAGTAGAAGTTAAATTATGAAGCAGTTTACAACCAGACGACACCAACAAATACCACATTTTTCTGTGGCGGATTGAAACAAGATATTTAAAAAAAGATGTTACATAAATCCTTCCAGCCTCACGGCCAGATTGAAACGATAAAGATTTTTACAGAGAAAAATTATGCTTTTATAAAGTACACAACTAAAGAATGTGCTTGCCAGGTCATTGTTGAATTACATAATTCATACTTAAATGGACAGATTATTAGGTGCTCCTAGGGCGAGGATACTGGGGCTGACCAGGCCACCAACCCAGCTCAGGAGGCCAATGGGGCTCAACCAAGCCTCAAAAACTACTCTAATGGCCAAGGATTTACCAAACAAATGGGACGAAGCAGCAGATGCCTTACAATCAGATGAGTTACAACCAGTACCCATATGGTTACCGGCCTAATCCTAGCTATATGTGGATGGGTTGGGGCCAGCAGGGCTGAGGACAACCTGGGCAGCCCCCCCCCCCCTCCAAGCACCTCAGCAGGGCCAGCCCCACAAGTGAGTAACCTTGAGGATTGACTACTTGGCTTGAGGTTGCTTGACACAGCTGACCCCAACTTGTCAGGTGCAGCCCTGCCTTGGAGACCTTCAGACTAATATAGACTGTGTGTACATAAGTGAAATAGAAACTTAAGTATAGAAAGAAAGAAAGCAGTGGTGTGCTTTTTGTAAGAGAAAGTAATTTTGTAAAGTTTTATATCAGGAATACAGTGAATTTCTGGACTGACACAGTGAATGGCTTTCATGGCTCCTTTCTACCAGCCAGCTGTTGTAAATACTGTTATGGATAATGCACATTTTTTTAATTACTATTCATAAAACCTTTATTTCAGTAGAATTATAGGATTTTTATGTATATGCCATGGAAGTGAATTCATTATAAATATTTGTGTATTATTTTTTCAAGACTTTAGTACAGTTATCAAATTAAGTGGAACAGACATTAGGGAGTGAATGCAAAGACAGTAAGAGTGAGCGAGCGAGCGAGCAAGTCTGCTTAGTAGCTGCCCAACTACTTATTTCTTGCACCAGCTCAGAAGTATTATAAACACATACCAGAAAAATGAAACTGGTTAATGGGGAGTTTTTCCTGTGACCTTTAGTTAGTAAAGTGGATCTTTATCTGTTTGGATTTTATGCCCAGCATGAGACTTTTGTACACAACCCCATCCATGTACAGCTATCCAGAATGTGAAAAAAATGCTGACTTGTGAACAGCAGGTGTTCAATAGGATCGCGAGGATAACACATAAAACCAAGCTGAGTCACGTTAAAGGACCTCGGACTAACCATTCAAGCCCAGAAGGTTTATATCATGGAGGAATATCCAATGATCTCGAATTGATTACCAAGTGTAGATAAATAGATACACTAATAAATTAATGAATGAATAAAGAGATATATAAGTAAAATAAATGGAGCCCTCAATAATGTACTCTAGTTCAAAGAAAGTCAGACGTCAATTCTGCCATTACATAATATCTAAATGTAAAAGCAGATCATAGTATCTGTCCCTTAGTTGTAATCTCTGAGTTCATTTTGTGTACTGTCCGACAGCGTTACCACTTATCATGTGGTTTCCACGTAAGCAAGTCAAAAAAAGTAAAGTAAAGAAAAAAAAGTAGAACAGGAAAGAGTGCGGTCTGTATTTTCCGGTCGTCTTGAAGGCACTGACCTCACTCTTACTTTTGTAATAAGCATGATTGGACTTTAATGTTAATATTCTAGCATTTTTTTATGAAGATTAGTTTAGCGTAAATAAGACATTTAGTCAGTAATATCGTAAGTTACAAACATTATGATAAATTTTATGTCAGTAATAGAAATAGTATCAATTAAATGAAAGATAACATTCACTGACTATGTTAGAACGATGTAAAATATAACTTAAAAACTGTTCCACTTTATCAACATTTTCTACATGTTAAGACATTTTCTTCTTTACTATGTGAACGTTGTCTAAAATAGTTTACATCTTATTGGGCGTAAATAACGTAATAAAGAATTTCATTTATCTGTCCTCGAAGGGGTACGTAAAACCTGAATTATTAGGTATGTGTTACGCAGATAGAAGGAATATCTTCAAATATTTTTATTTACAGAATATACATTTACATCCCCTTGAAGAAGAGTGCTGGAGGGAATATAATTTATGATACAGAATGAATATCATCAAAAGAAACGTGGCCTCTCCTACGATAATTTTGGATTCATTTGTGATGCCATAATCAGTGGGATAATCTGACTTAGTGGATTTACCTATTTCGTGTTCACAGTAGCAAATCCTGAAGTCTATGATGTTGAAGTCACAGGAGTATAATATGTGTTTAATCTTATGGATTTTTTTTCTTTTCTTCACTACCAACGTGAGAAATGTATAATTTTCTTAGTGACATGATGACGAGTACAGGAGACCGTTACGATTTTAATACACACCAAACAGATTAATTCTGTCAGCAAATTTGACCTGTCTTTTTTTTTCTGACAGAAAAGTGTCAATAATTTCTTGTACAACATTAGGAGAATATCTAGACAATATTTTGCCGCACGTAGTATCAACATTATTTATAATTCATCAGCCATCGAGTTGAAATGTAAGGATATGCAGGAACACAATCTAC